AAATCAAGGAATTATCTTTAGAACTCAATATTCTTAAAAACCAGCTTCCTCCCCCACGGGGGGTGGAAGCAGAAAGTGGTGGGATTCATCTCGAAGGGGCGGGGGGTGGGTGGGATGAGTCTGCCTATCGAGATGAGATGGACCAACGGTTGCTTTCGTGGTGTGGAGACAATAACTTGGTCCTCAATACCAATAAGACCAAGGAGCTTATAGTGGACTATGGAAGGAGCAGATCAGACACCGAGCCCTTGCTTATCAGTGGAGACCGAGTGGAGAAAGTGGCCAGTTTTAAGTTTCTGGGTGTTACCCTAAAAGAGGACCTGACCTGGGGGGCTCACATTGCAGCACTGGTCAAAAGGGCAAAGCAGAGATTAGACTACCTGAGGTTTCTCAGGAAACGACAACTGGATGAAAAACTGCTGGTGACCTTCTACCGCTGCACCATAGAGAGCATTTTAACATACTGCACCTCTGTATGGTTTGCCAGTTGCACAGTGGCAGATAGGAAAGCGCTCCAGAGGGTGAATGTCATTGCCCAGAGGATCCTGGGTTGCCCTCTCCCCTCTTTGGAAGAGCTTTATAGCTCCCGCTGCCTTAAGAAAGTTCAAAACATCCTTAAAGATCCATCTCATCCTGGGAACCCTTTTTTTGAACTATTACCGTCTGGAAGACGGTACAGGATAATAAAAACAAGGACAAATAGGCTGAAAAACAGCTTCTATCCCAGGGCAGGAGCTCTTTTGAATTCTACTGAGTAGTGCAATATTAATGCAATTTCAGGGTTTTTCAATTCAATGTGTGGAGTGTGAAGGATGTGTGTTTTGTTTATTTTCATGGTCATGATGGGCACTGAAGATGGTGTTTGATTCCGTTGTACGAGGTGCAAGGACAATACACTAAACTAAACTCAAAGGTACATTTTCAGATGCTGGCATCTGATCCTCTCAACCAGGGGTGGGATTCAACCGGCATTACTACTGGTTTGGTAATTACGTTTTGCACGTGCACGCGTGCGCTATTACTGCTGCTGGTCAGCTCTTAAATCTTAATACCTCAACAAACTCCATTTATATTTTTACCCCCACCAAAAAAACCCTTCCAATGATCTAGGTAAATGCCTTTAATTGTAATTTTATTGAAAAAAAAAAGACAGCCACACCTTTGCCGTGAGGACAGGAATGGCCAACCTCTTACCTGCCCATAGGTGCCCAGCAGGATCTCCGGCTCGCTATCGAAGTCCACATCTGTCACCAGGGCACAGAGTACGCTGTCGTACTGGTGACTCAGGGGCAAGACCAACTGGTCCTCCAGACCACTGTGCAGCACATTCCTAGAAGGGAGAGGGGGGAAAAAAACGAGTTCTCAAGCAAGCAGAAGCCAGGTGGGCAGGGGATAGATTTCCCGTTCCACGTACTTTACTCACCTGTAGACCACCGAGAGCTCGAGCATGCTGGTTACGAGGACGCTGTAGCTTTGAGGGCCGGGATTGGTGGTGCCTGGGTGAGATGCGAAGGACCACAGAGCAGAGAAGTTGGGTTGAGTGGCAACTTGAAGAGGGGCGGACTTCAATCCCAGAATTCTGGGAGTTGGAGTCCACCCCTCTTCAAGTTGGTTGAGAAAGATAAGAGTTAAGGGGTCCCCAAACCTGGCAAGTTTTGTGAACTTGTGAAGTTTTGTTTTTGCAAGACTTGTGACGTTGAACTCCCAGAATTCCTCTTCTCACGTGAGCTGAGGAATTCTGGGAGTAAAAAGTGCACAAATCTTAAACTTGCCAAGTTGGAAGACTCTTGCCCTAAATCCTACAGAAATCCCAATTCTGTTAAGAAGCTGCTAGATCAGAGGTCTCTAAACGTGGCCACTTTAAGACTGGTGGACTTTCAACTCCCAGCATAGCTGGCTGGAGAATTCTGGGAGTTGAAGTCCACAAGTCTCCAAGTGGCCAAGTTTGGAGACCTCTGATTTACATGGTTCTTCTGGGCCACCAAAGGGGAGAATCTCCTTCCCAATCCTCATTCCCCCTTCTCTTTGGGTCTCACCTTTCGTAGACGCAATCCCGGGTGGGTCGTCTGACCGGCTGATGCTTGGGAGAGCAAAGACCAGGACCTTGGAGATGGGACTGTCTTGTTGGATGCTCCAGCTCTGCAGCACCACTTGAGTCCGGAAGAAGAGAAGGGGCACCAATCAATCAATCAATCAATCAACCCAAGCGCCCTTCACTTACCAGGCTGCAGTCCAAACTTTGAGGAAGAGCCCGAGTTAAGCCATGTAAATCAGAGGTCTCCAAACTTGGCAACTTTGAGACTTGTGGACTTCAACTCCCAGAATTCTCCAGCCAGTGTAAGTGGGGCCTTACCTCGCTTGGCTGGTTCAACCTGAGCAACCCGGATGTATCCGCTCTGGCAGCCGAAAGCTGTGATCCGCTGCCCCGAATGGGGAATGTTGTAGACATCGAGCCAGAGGATGCTGAAAAGAAGGGAGGGATCGTGAGAAAAAGGTTTGGGGGGAGGGAGGGAAGGGAGGAGGAGAGAGAGGAAGAAAGGGAGGGAGGGAGGGAGGAGAGAAGGGAGGGAAGAAAGGAAGGAGAGAAAGAGAGGGAGGGAGGGAAAGCAGAAGGGAGGGAGGGAGGCAGGAGGGAGGGAAGGAAAGGGGAGGGGAGGGAAGGAAGTGAGAGAGGGAGGAAGAGAAAGAGGAAGGAAGGAAGGAAGAAGGGAGGGAAGAAAGGAAGGAGAGAAGAGAGAGGGAGGGAAAGCAGAAGGGAGGGAGGGAGGGAGGGAGGAGGGAGGGAGGCAGGCAGGAGGGAGGGAAGGAAAGGGGAGGGAAGGGGAGGGAAGGAAGGGAGAGAGGGAGGAAGAGAGAGAGGAAGGAAGAAAGGAAGGAAGAAAGGAAAGGAGGGAGGGAGGGAGGAGAGAAGGGAGGGAAGAAAGGAAGGAGAGAAAGAGAGGGAGGGAGGGAAAGCAGAAGGGAGGGAGGGAGGCAGGAGGGAGGGAAGGAAAGGGGAGGGGAGGGAAGGAAGTGAGAGAGGGAGGAAGAGAGAGAGGAAGGAAGGAAGGAAGAAGGGAGGGAAGAAAGGAAGGAGAGAAGAGAGAGAGGGAGGGGGGAAAGACAGGAGGGAGGAAGGAAGGAGGGAAGGAAAGGGAGGGAGAAAGGCAGGAGGGAGAGAAGGAGTGAGGGAAGGAAGGAAAGGGGAGGGGAGGGAGGGAGGGAGGGAAGGGAAGGAAGGAAAATGGGAAGGAGAAGGAGGGAAGGAAGGAAGGAAACAAGGAAGGAAAAAGAGAAAAGGAAGGAAGGGTTAGGATTAAGGCTCCATTATAGTCATAAGCTGAAGTTTACCTGTGTTAAGTCCCTACCACACCCAATACACTAACCTCTGGTTTAATTAGCAAACCACAATTCTTGGTTTCACACAAGACGTCAAACTAAACCCGATCAGCCACATTATGGGTTAAGCAGATCATTGAGCCAAGTCAGGACCTGGTTGCCTCTTTTCATTCTGCCCCACCCCCACCCCCCACCCCCGACCTCAAGCCTTGATAACAAACCAGGTTTGCCTACTTGCTGGGTAGTTCCTTAAGCTCTGGAAAGAGATTCTCGACCGGCTGCTCCTCAAATTGATGGAGCTCTTCATTCTGCAAAATCAATAAAAGAAGGTAGAGGTAGGTCCTCGTCTTACGACCCCCATTGAGCCCCCCCAAATTCTGCCTACAGGCCTTGGGATTTCCAGGGGGGGGGGCTCCTATCCAATTGCTCCCGTAGAACAGAGGGAGAAAGAGATTCCCTATTTTCTGCTTATCCTGGGGTTCCCCCCCCCCCTCGCCAGTTCATCTCTCTTAGAAACACAGGTGGTCCTTGACTTACAACACAAATGAGGCCCAAGATTTCCCTCGCACAGGAGAACGGAGCTGGAAAGCAGGTTAGTGGGGTGTGGGGAGGGAGTGGGGATTTTGCAGCCTCCTTCCCCTGCCACGCCCACCAAGCCATACCACGCCCGTCAAGCCACGCCCACAGAACTGGTCGTAAAAAAGAATTTGAATCCCACCATTGGTGGAGGACTACCTGAAGTTGCAGGGTGACCTGCCTATTCCGAAGACTGCATCGGAAATGTCTCATCGTGATGACTCAAAAGCTTTGCCAGTTCTTCTCTCCTAGCTCAGCTCACACCAGAAAAGGTGTAAAAACTGTTGGGTTTTCTTTTCTTTTCTTAATTTTAAGACAGGAACGGCTTAACCTCACTACACAGTGATTGGACCTGGGGGGGGGGGGGGGGGGGGGGGGGAAATACTTGAGATATGATGGAACCAAAGAAAGAAAAAAGGAGAAGGCGGCCTTTGCAAGTAGAACGCTGGGATTTAAAAAACAAACCAACCATGAAGGACCTCAAGGAGAACTGCAGAGGCACCATAGAGGAGAGGGGCTAGAATGCCCAGAAAAGCCAAGTCTAACTGGAGGTCTCACCTCTTTGTAAAGATGAATTGCGGGATCGTTTCCGCTCAGAAGGAAGACGGTCTCTGGACGATCAGCAACCTGGACTCTACGCCCACCAAAAGTAGCATCGAAATATGTCAGTTTTTGAAATCCCACCACCGTACTCTCCACAAGGACAAGACATGTGTTCCAATGCAAAATCTGTGTCTGGTTTAATCTACAACTGGGTATTGCCAAAGGTGAAGTTAGGGGAATGTATTCGAGGCTGGCTGTACGTCAAGTCACCAAGAAAGAGGCCAGTTTAAGAGAACTTGTCCTCTTGCCAGTTCCACTTAAAATGGACACTGGACAAAGAGAGGAAGGGGAAAAAAATTAATTATCCTGTGTTTCTGACCGGGATCCTTGTTCCTTCTCGAGTGCAGAAGTATCTCAGAGGAGACGTGGTTAAGGTAGTGACTCATGATGAGGGACAAAGGGCTGGCTCACTGAAGGAGAAGCAAGGCTGAGCTTAACCATAGTAACAACTTTGGAGCTGCAGTGCACCTCCAACTACTTTAATTTAGAAAATTCTTGGGAGGTCTACTCATTGGCTGGCTGGAAAACTCAAGCATCCTGAGTGCAGGTGACAGCCATTAGCTCAGAAAGGGAAGCAGACAAATATAGAAAGTGTATGTTTTCCCCGAATTATATTAGTCATGAGAGACTTACGTCATCTCCAGATTCAAGGCCATGAACGTCATTTGCTGGAGAGCAAATTTTCTTTCTTTCTTTCTTTCTTTCTTTCTTTCTTTCTTTCTTTCTTTCTTTCTTTCTTTCTTTCTTTCTTTCTTTCTTTCTTTTTCTTTCTTCTTTCTTTCTTTCTTTCTTTCTCTTTCTTTCTTTCTTTTTTTCTTTCTTTCTTTCCTTCCCCTTCCTCCTCCCTCCCTCCTTGTCCTGCTTCTCCTTCTTTCCTTCCTTCCTCCCTCCCTCACTCCTCACTTCCATTCCTATTTCCTACTTCCCTT